GGTGTTTGATAGGGGGTGTTAGGATTTATAGGGGCTGTGGTGGCTTGGGGACCAGAATTGGGAGAATGGGGGATTGAGGGGGCTGAGACTGTTCCCTATGGGGGCTTTTAGGGGGGTCCTGGGGAGGTTTGTGGTCTGTGGATGGGGCTGGTGGGGGTGTGTGGAGGGGTTGTGCGAGGTTATAGGGGCCCTGTGGGTTGTGAGGGGCTCTGTGTGAACTTTTGGGGGTTTTCTATGGGGTTTGTGGGGGCTTCTTGGGGTTCTATGGGGTACAGAGATGAATAGGGGCTGAAATTTGAAGTGGGATTGGGAATTATTGGGATTTAGGAGATGGGATTTATAGGGGTTGGGGTTGAGATTCGAAGGGGGAGCTGGGATTAAAAGGGATTGGGATTAGGAATTGAAAGAAGGTCGGGAATTACTGGGATTGAGGTTTAGGGGATGGAATTGGGACCCTTTCAGCCCTGCACACTTGCAGATTTTAGCTAAAATTTAGGGGAGAAACGCTGTTTTTTAGAGAATTTTCAGCACGACCTTCTCCTGCAGCCCCAATTTATGGTTTTTTTCCCCCAAATCCTGTTATCTGAAGGCTGCGGGCATCCCGTGTGCTGCTGGTGGGGCTGCGTGGTCTCGGCGCAGAGGTGGCCAAGAATCTCATCCTGGCAGGAGTGCGGGCGCTTACCATGCTGGACCACCACCAGGTGGGGGCTTTTTGGGGGGGAAAACAGCGAAATTGGAGCCTCTGGGGGCACCTGAACCAACTGCTAGGGAAAAATATGTTTTTTTGGGGGAGAAAGGGGCAGTTTTGGGTCACCTGAAAGGGAAAATATTCCATTTTGAGGCACCTGAAGGAGAGAGTGTTCCGTTTTGGGGCATTTAAACCTTGTTTTTTTCTCTAAAAATGGTTTTTTGAGGGAAATTGATCAATATGGAGGGGGTTTAAGCTCTCTTTTTTTTTTTTGGGGGGGGGGACACCTAGCCCACTTCCAAAAAACGCTGTTTTGGAGGAAATCACTCAGTTTTGGGTCATCTAAAAGAGAAGATCACACTATTTTGGGGCATCCAAACCCACTTCCAAAAAACGCAGTTTTGGGACACTTGCACCCACATCCAAAAAAATGCTCTTTGTGAGGAAATCCCTCCGTTTTGGGTCACCTGAAGGTAGAAAACATTCCATTTTGGGCCATCCAAACCCACTCATCCCGGAAACACTCTTTTGGGAGAAATCACTCTATTTTGGGACATGCATCAGCATCCAAAAAACGCTCTTTCTGGGAGAAATCCCTTCATTTTTAGGATACCTCAAGGTGGAAACTGTTCTGTTTTGGGGACCAGGAGCGCTTCCTGCTCCCCACAATCCCCATTTTCCTCCTCCTGGACTTCACCTCCTTATGGGTAACCCCAAAATTTCCTTATTTCTTCCCATTTAGGTGTCCCCTGAGGACACACGGGCTCAATTCCTGGTCCCTGCTGGCTCTGTGGGGCGCAATAGGGCCGAAGCGTCGCTGGAACGGGCGCAGAACCTCAACCCCATGGTGGATGTCAAGGCCGACCCCGAAAGCGTCGAGAGCAAACCTGAATCTTTCTTCACCCAATTCGATGCTGTGAGAGAGAGAGAGCCCCCAAAAATGTGGGGTTTGGGAGGAAAATGGGGCGAAGGGAAGCGTTGTTGGGGGTTGTAGGGTTTCTGGGTGGGTTTTGGGGTTGGGGGGAACGAGGGTTGGGGCATGGAGACCCCAGGGCAGTGCTGTGGTGGTGGTGAGGTTGCTCTGCGGGCTGTGGGATGGACCTGAGTGCAAAAATCTGGGGGGTTTTGCCCCATTTTTTTGTGTTAAAAGGATTCCTAAAGTGTCTCGAAATCCTGGGGTTGGGCTGGGGTGTCCAGTGAGCCCCCAGTGGGATTGGGATTATGAAATGGGACTGGGATTGGGCCTCAAAGGGATTGGGACTGGGATTACGATTGGGTGGAAGAGGGATTGGGATTGGGACTGAGATTGGGACTGGGTCTCAAAGGGATTGGGGTTAAAGGGGATGGGATGAAGGGGATGGATTGGGATTAAGGGGTGGGGTTGGGATTAAGGGTTGGAATTAAGGGATGGAATTGGGATTAAGGGATGATATTAGGATTAAGATGGGATTAAGGGGTGGGATTGAGATTAAGGGGTGGAATTGGGATTAAGATGTTGGGATTAAAGGGTGGGGTTGGGATTAAGGGATTGGGATTAAGATGTTAGGATTAAGGGGTGGGATTGGCATTAAGGGGTGGGATTAGGATTAAGGGATTGGGATTAAGATATTGGGACTAAGGGATTGGGATTAAGGGGTAGGATTGGGATTAAGGAGTGGGATTAAGATGTTGGGATTAAGGGGTGGGATTGGGATTAAGGGGTGGAATTGGGCTTAAGATGTTGGGATTAAGGAGTGGGATTGGGATTAAGGGGTGGGATTGGGATTAAGATGTTGGGATTAAGGAGTGGGATTGGGACTAAAGGATTGGGATTAAGGGGTGGAATTGGGATTAAGATGTTAGGATTAAGGAGTGGGATTGGGATTAAGATGTTGGGACTAAGGGGTGGGATTGGGATTAAGGGATTGGGATTAAGGGGTGGGATTGGGATTAAGGGGTGATTTTAGGATTAAGATGTTGGGGTTAAGGGTGGGATTGGGATTAAGGGTTAGGATTAGGATTAAGGTGTTGAGATTAAGGGGTGGGGTTGGGATTAAGAGGTGGGATTGGGATTAAGGGTTGGAATTAAGGGATGGAATTGGGATTAAGATGTTGGGATTAAAGGGTAAAGTTGGGATTAAGGGATTGGGATTAAGATGTTAGGATTAAGGAGTGGGATTGGGATTAAGGGGTGGGATTAGGATTAAGGGATTGGGATTAAGATGTTGGGACTAAGGGATTGGGATTAAGGGGTAGGATTGGGACTAAGGAATTGGGATTAAGATGTTGGGATTAAGGGAATGGGATTAAGATGTTAGGATTAAGGGGTGGGATTGGGATTAAGGGTTGGGATTAAGGGGTGATTTTGGGATTAAGATGTTGGGGTTAAGGGTGGGATTGGGATTAAGAGGTGGGATTGGGATTAAGGTGTGGAATTGGGATTAAGGGATTGGGATTAAGGTGTGGAATTGGGATTAAGGGATTGGGATTAAGGGTTTGGGATTAAGGGATTGGGATTGGGATTAAGATGTTGGGATTAAGGAGTGGGATTGGGACTAAGGGATTGGGATTAAGATGTTGGGATTAAGGGATTGGGGTTGGGATTAAGGGAATGGGATTGAGATGCTAGGATTAAGGGGTGGGATTAGGATTAAGATGTTGGGATTAAGGGGTGGGATTGGGATTAAGGGGTGATTTTGGGATTAAGATGTTGGGATTAAGGGATTGGGATTAAGGGGTGGGATTTGTATTAAGGGATTGGGATTAAGGGATTGGGGTTAAGGAGTGGAATTGGGATTAAGGGATTGGGATTAAGGGGTGGGATTGGGATTAAGATATAGGGATTAAGGGGTGGGATTGGGATTAAGGAATTGGGATTAAGGAGTGGAATTGGGATTAAGGGATTGGGATTAAGGGGTGGGATTGGGATTAAGGGGTTGGGACTAAGGGGTTGGAGTTGGGATTAAGGGATTGGGATTAAGATGTTGGGATTAACAGATTGGGGTTGGGGCTAAGGGATTGGGATTAAGGGGTGGGATTAAGATGTTGGGATTAAGGGATTGGGGTTGGGATTAAGATGTTAGGATTAAGGGGTGGGACTGGGATTAAGATGTTGGGATTAAGGGGTGGGATTGGGATTAAGGAGTGATTTTGGGATTAAGATGTTGGGGTTAAGGGTGGGACTGGGATTAAGAGGTGGGATTGGGATTAAGGGATTGGGATTAAGGTGTGGAATTGGGATTAAGGAGTGGAATTGGGATTAAGGGATTGGGATTAAGGTGTGGAATTGGGATTAAGAGATTGGGATTAAGGAGTGGGATTGGGATTAAGGGATTGGGATTAAGAAGTGGGATTCGGATTAAGGGATTGGGATTGGGATTAAGGGATTGGGATTAAGGAGTGGAATTGGGATTAAGGGATTGGGATTAAGGAGTGGGATTGGGATTAAGGGATTGGGATTAAGGGGTGGGATTGGGATTAAGGGATTGGGATTAAGGGGTGGGATTGGGATTAAGATATTGGGATTAAGGGGTGGGATTGGGACTAAGAAGTGGAATTAAGATGTTGGGATTAAGGGGTGAAGAGGAAGGGATGGGGATGAAGCGGGATGGGATTAGGATTAAAAACCGGGCTTAAAGCCTTGGCACTGAGAAGATGAGCCTGCAGCGGGTCCATCGGGGGGGCTGAGTTGAGTTAATCAACTCGGTCGAGCTAATTAACGCTAACGAGGCGGCTCAGGTGTGCGTGACGTGCTGCTCGCGGGACGCCATGCTGCGCATCGACCGCATCTGCCACCAAAACGGCGTCAAGTTCTTCGCCGGCGACGTTTTCGGCTACCATGGCTACGCCTGCGCCGACCTGGGGGAGCACGACTTCGTCGAGTGGGTTTTTTTTTTGGGGGGGGTAAAACAGTGCCGTTTTGGGGCTAAAAAGAAACA